GCTGCTGCTGCTGCTGCTGCTGCTGCTGCTGTTGCTGCTGCTGCTGCTGCTGCTGCTGCTGCTGCAGGTGAAGAAGTTTCCACCGGATGCGAAATGCTGCTGCTGCAACTGGCCTCTTGAGAAAGGTGGGCTGCCCCCACACCTCTGTTGCTGCTGCTGCTGCTGCTGCTGCTGCTGCTGCTGCTGCTGCTGCTGCTTCTGTTGGTGCTGATGCTTCTTCGACTGATGCTGGTGCTGCTGTTGCTGCTGCAGCTGTTGCTGCTGCACCCAAAGCCACGCACGGCTGTAATCTGTGTTGCTGAAATGAGCAGCAACAGCAGCAGCAACTGCAGCAGCAGCAGCAGCAGCAGCAACAGCAGCAGCAGCAGAAACAGGGTCTTCCTTTTTCTTTCTTTTTGTGTATTTTGCAGCGTCGAGATGCCCCGAGTGTCGCAACATTTTCTGCAGGTAATACATGACGAAAAACCCGAGGGTTTAGGGTTTAGAATTGAGGGTTTAGGGTTTAGGATTGAGGGTTTAGGGTCTCGGATTGAGGGTTTAGGGTTTACGGTTTAGGATTGAGGGTTTAGGGTTTAGGGTTTAGGATTGAGGGTTTAGGGTCTAGGGTTTAGGATTGAGGCTTTAGGGTCTAGGGTTCAGGATTGAGGGTTTAGGGTTCAGGTTTGAGGGTTTAGGGTTTAGGGTTTAGGGTTTACGGTTTGGGGCCTAGGATTGAGTGTTTAGGGTTTAGGGTTTAGGGTTTAGGATTGAGGGTTTAGGGTTTAGGGTTTGTGGTTTGTTCAGAGAGTGCGACGTGTTCAGCCACGAGCAGCTGCGGCACTGTCCCTTTTGCGTGATGGAGGATATAAACAGCATTCGCAGTAAACAGGAGACACCACAGACCTCAGCATACACCCCAGCAACCAAGCCAGCTGCTTGAGCTCTTGCTGCAGCTGCAGCTGCTGCTGTTGCTGCTCCTGCTGCTGCTGCTGCTGCTGCTGCTCTTGCTGCTGTTGCTGTTGCGGGGGGTGCTGCTGCTGCTCATGTAGCTAAACCTTGCGGCAGAGAAGACACCGCTTGAGGTGTCTGTACACCCCACGCACAGACAGCTGAAACTAGCTACTAGCTGGGGTGTATGGGCACCTATACAAGCGGCAGAACTGAAAATAAAAAAAAATTTAATTATAGCTGAGGTGTACGTACACCTCAGCGAGGTGCCTATACACCTCAGAGAAATGTATAAACAACTCGAAGACGTGCTGAGGTGTATGGACACCTCAGCGAGGTGCATAGACACCTCAAATAAGTATTTAGGTGTATAGGCACCTCAGCGAGGTGCCTATACACCCCAGCGAGGTGCCTATACACCTCAGCGAGGTGCCTATACACCTCAGCGAGGTGCCTATACACCTCAGCGAGGTGCCTATACACCTCAGCGAGGTGCCTATACACCTCAGAGGGGGGACCCCGCCCCGGTGCGAGGGCACTGCAGTATTTGAGGGTTTTGGAGGCCCTGGGGTTTCTCTTTTGGTGGAAACGAAACGGAGACACTGCCTGTTGCTTTTTGTGTATTTTATTTGTTTTGTTTCTTCTTTCTTTAGCTGCTGTCTCCTTTCTCTCTATCTCCTTTCTCTCTGTCTCCTTTATATCTGTCTCCTTTCTCTATCTGTCTCCTTTCTATTTGTCTCCTTTCTCTCTGTCTCCTTTATCTATTTGTCTCCTTTCTATCTGTCTCTCTTCCCTCTGTTTCCTTTCTATCTGTCTCCTTTCTTCTGTTCCTTGTAAAGGAGACAGAAGGCCTCAACGCTATAAGGTGTAGCGAGTGTCTCCGTCTGTCTCCTGTCTGTCTCCGTTTCTTCTTATACTTATATATATATATATATACATATATATATATATATATATATATATATATA